ATGGATGCTCTAATGTTGCAGAGGAAACTTGGGTGACTGTCCAGGCAGCCAGCTGTTTCTGTTATTTCTCACATTTTTTGGAAGTCACTTATCTGTACTTCCTGCTTACTCTGTAAATATTATTTCCTTCTCAGGTCTCTGAGGGAGTTGAAGACTAAATAGTTATAGTTTTCCTTGTTAACAAATTCAGAAAAGAAACACACTAAGAGACATAAAGTGTATAAGTTTGAGAGACATCAAAAGATAATTTTTGGTTGGTAATGCAAGTTAGGATAGAAAGTGAATTAGGTACAACATTTTGGACTCACCAAAATAGGATAAATAATGGAGCATTTTCTCTGAATTTATCAAATGTTAATGGACTAAACATTATTGATGTAATTATTGCCTGTATATATTGTATATAGTTATTGTACTTATTGTATATAGTTTTTCTTATATTAGTTATAATATTTTTTATTTTAAACAAAAAGGGGAAATGTGGTGATATTTTGTTTCTGCTCTAACAAATAAAGCTTGCCTGAAGATCAGAGGGCAAAGCCAGCCACTAGTTAGCCATAGAGGCCAGGCAGTGGTGGCACACACACATGACTTTAATCCCAGCACTAGGGAGATTGAGACAGGAAGTGATTTGGCTGGGCAGAGAAAAGGAATATAAGGCGAGAGGAGAGAGGAGCTCGGGCTCTTTCAGGCTGAGGATTCTTAGAAGTAAGAAGTCTTTCTAGTGGCTCACTGTTCTGTTTCTGTGTTCTTTCAGCTTTCACCCTGATATACGACTCTGGGTTTTTATTGTTAAGACCAATTAGGATTTATGCTACAAATAAGAACAAGGAACAAGCAAGTGTTGATATCCTAGTATCTGACAAAGTAGATTTAAACCTAAAACTGACCAGAAGATATAAAAAGGGATATGTCATTCTAATCAAGAGAATAATTTATAAAGAACACATTACAATCCTAAACATATATGCAATAAACTCTGGTGCATCCACTTTCATTAAAAAGTGTACTGCTGGAATTAAAGACACAGATTAACAGAGATTAACTCCAACTCAAAAAAATAGGAGGGAATTTCAATACCCTACTTTCTCCAACAGACAGGTCATCTGGATAGAAACTAAACAGAGAAACATCAGAACTAAATGACATCTTATATCAAATGGTTCATTTTACCTCTGTAGGTATCAGGCACTAAGGTGGAACAATAATACATGCAGACAAAACACCCATATGCATAAAATAATAAATAATCTAAAAAGCCCTTTAAAGAAATAATTAAACAAAAATTCCTGGAACTAAGAGAAATGAAAACAACATAAGCATATAACTTTAAGCTTCTACGTTAAGAAATCAGGTGGAGCGGGGGACTACAAATAAATGACTTAATGATGCAACTCAAGAATTTAGAAAACCAAGAACAAACTAAGCCCAAATAGAGTAGATGGCAAGAAATAATAAAAAAAAATTTCAGAGAAGAAATTAACAAAAGCCAAGGAAACAGTGTTAAGCATCAACCAGTCTAAGAGCTCATTCTTTGAAAAGATAATCATGATCAACAGACTGTTAGCACAATTAAAGGAAGAGAAGACCCAGATTAACAGAATCAGAGAAGAGCAGAGAAATGTTACTAAAGATAACAAAAGAAATCCAGAACAATGTAAGGAAATACTTTATAAACCTCTACTCTATTAAGTTACAAAACTAGAAGAAATAGATGGATTCTAGATTCACCCAAACCACTAAGGTTAAACCAAGAAGAGTTCAACAACTGAAACATCACTTTATTACAAACAAGCAGACTGAAATGGTAATAAAAAGCTTTCACATTAAAGAAACAAAGTCCATGCAGGCCTAGTTTGACTCATAGCAGCATTCTATTAGACTTTTAATGATCAATAACCAATACTTCTTAAGTTCTTTCAAAAATAGAAACAGAAGGAACACTCCCACACTCCTTCTATGAAGCCAGTATTACTCTATACCCAAACCAGGTAAGGAAAAACATCCCTAATGAACATAAATTCAAAAATCCTCAATAAAACACTTATTAACTGAATCAAGCAAATACCAAAAAGATCACCCACCACTAATCAGATTGATTTTATCCTAGGGATGCAGAGACAATTCAACACATGTAAGTAAATAAATGTAATAAGTCATATAAATGGACTTAAAGAAAAAAATCACACTTGATAAAGAAAGGGGCTTTGAAAATCACCATCTTCCCAAAAAGCAATCTAGAGAGTCAGTGTAACCCCAATCAAAATCCCCATGACATTCTTTACTGAAATAGGAAAAAACCCTAAAATTCACATGGAACCACAAAAGATCCCAGATAGTTAAAGCAATCCTGAGGAAACAGAACAATGTTGGAGGTATTACCATTACAAATTTCAAGTTAAAACTATAGCAAAAAAAAAAATGAAAAAAAAATACGTTCTTTGCACAAAAATAGACATGTAGATCAATGGAAAAAAAGTAGGGGGCTCAAACAGAGCTACAACCATCTGATATTTGAGGAAGATGCTCAACATCTACATTGTTGAAAGACAGTATCTTCAACAAGTGCTGCTGGGAAAACTGAATGTACACATGTAGAAGAATGGAATTGGACCCATATCTATTACCTTGCACAAAAAACAACCCCAAATGGGTCAAAGACCTGTATGTGAGATACGAAATGCTCCAACTGCTAGAAGAAAATGTAGATAATACCCTACATGATATAGGTGTAGGAAAAAAATCTTCATAAATAGCACTTTGTTCACTCAGGAATTAAAGCCATCAATTGGCAACTGGGAATTCAAAACCAAAAAGCTTCTGTACAGCAAAGGAAACAGTCAACCCAATGAAAAGGAATCCCACAGAGTGCGAGACAATCTGTCAGCTATAGCCTGTTGGAAGATCAATATCCAGAATATACAAAGAACTTGGAAATCAAGAAAACAAATTACCCAACTGAAAATGGTCTATGGATCTGAACAGAAAGTTATCAAAAATAAAAATGGCTAAGAAATATTTTTTAAAGTGTTCACTATCCCTAACAATTACAAATATGCAAATTGAAACTTCTCTGAGATTTCATCTTACCCCAGTCACAATGAATGAATGAATGGCTAAGTTCAAGGAAACAATTGACTCCAAATGCTGGCAAGGATCCAGGGAAAGGAACCATTCTCATTCACTGTTATTGGGATTGAAAACCGGGGCAGCCATCATAGAAGTAAATATGGAGAATTCTTAAATACTAAAAGTACATCTACCATAGGACCCAGCTATGACCACTACCTGGTATATGCCCACAGGACTCAATATCCTACTCTAGAGATACTTTCTCAACCATGTCCATTGCTGCTTTAGTCACAATAGCTAGGAAGTGGTAACATCCTAAATGTTCTTCAACTGGCGAATGGATAGTAACAAATGTGGTACATAGGTACCCAATAACATTCTGTTCAGTTATAAAGAAAAATGAAATTTACAGATAAATAAATGGAACTGGAAACTACTGTGTGTGGGTAACCTGGACACAGAAGAATGCTATAGATTCTCTCCTATTTGTGGATCCTGGCTCTGAATCTTTAGATCTGAGTATATAACCTGAAGTATTGGAAGAAGCCAGGAAAGTGGAAAATCACTATGGGAGAACAGTGGGGGAGGAGTTCTGGAGAGGGGAACGGTAGGTGTTTGAGTTAGGGTTTCTATTGCTGCCGTGAAACACCATCACCAAAAGGCAAGTTGTGTAGGAAAGGGTTTATTCTGCTCACACTTCCACATTGCTGTTCACTAGTGAAGGAAAGAAGTCAGGACAGGAACTCAAACAGGGCAGGATCCTGGAGGCAGGAGCTGATGCAGAGGCCATGGAGGGGTGCTGCTTACTGGTGTGATCCCCATGGCTTGCTCAGCCCGCTTTCTTATAGAAACCAGGACCACTAGGCCGGGGATGGCACCGCCATGGGATGGAACCTCCCCCACTGATCACTAATTGAGAAAGTACCTTACAGTGGGATCTCATGGAGGCATTTTGTCAACTAAGGCTCCTTCCTCTCTGATGACTCTAGTTAATGTCAAGTTGACACACAAAATTAGCCTGTACAGTAGGACAGGTGTAATGGGGAAAATGGGGAGGAGGAGGAAGACTTTTATGTGGGGAAAGGGATGGAGAGATAAATGACTCTAGGAATGTTTTAAAAAGCCATAGGGCAACATATTTTATAAGCTTACTTAAATATATATAATATAGATTAGGTAGATATAGATATATGTATGTATATATGTGTGTGTATGCATGTATCCATCCTTTTTAGTTGAGTTCTATACCACATGGGATGATAATAATTCCCCTAAGAACCATGCATGATCACAATAGGACTTACACACATATGCAGTATGTATAGGGCCTGTATAGGTTCAAGCCAGATGGGATCCCAGATCTGAGAGGGGGAAGTGGATGTGGGCTCCATTCTCTAACTCAGACGCTACCTGTAATTGACACCTGCTTGCAAAGAATAAATGAGTTTTCTCCAATGGAGTCTCACTGAGTATACTTACCACAGTTCAGGGTAGGCCCCATGCCTAGCAATAGATGACCAACATAAACAAACTCAATGATGTTTTTGTAGGCTCTTTGTCTTATTTTGCTGTTTGGGAACTTCTTGTCTTAATAGTCTTTTGCATGCATATTGTGGTTTCAGATTTTGTACGTGTGGTGTGTGTGTGTGTGTGTGTGTGTGTGTGTGTAGGGAGGGAGGGAGGGAGGGAGAGAGAGAGAGAGAGAGAGAGAGAGAGAGAGAGAGAGAGAGAGGTTCTTTTTTCATTTGTTTTCCTTTTTGTTTTTTTAAAGTGATAAAGAAAGGAGGTGGAGTTGGGAACAATCTGGTAGGAGTTGGAGGCAGGGAAGTATGATCAGAAAAATATTGTATTAAAAAAGTTTATTTTCAATAAAAAAGAGAAAAAATGGCTTATGATAAAAATAATTAAGCAGTGCTAAATTCTCTTACCTGCTGAACTAAACTCAGAAAATATATCTTTGGTTGTTTGAGGCTTCCCATCTGGATCAATGTCCATGATAGTGCGCCACAATTCAGAGAATCTGGTTCGCTTCTCTTTGGGCATGTATATTCCATGCCACAGTGCTTTTAGCATATAGTCAATATAGATCAAAATTTGTCCAATTCTGGTATCATAATAAGCTGGAGGTAGTTGACAAGAAGAACTCTGATCATAATTTGCTTCTAAACTGATCGAAGGGATTTGATTTAAGCAATAAATTCCAACAGCCAACTCCCTTAAGATCTGATGGACTTCCCTATAGTCTAAATGGGCAGTGGGGTCCACAGGCGTCAATAGGATGGCGGTGGAGAAGCCTACATTATTTATTTGACTCATGAGTCCACATGGGATGTCTAGTTGAGAGCGAACATCCTCCTTGGCAGACAGCCAGCTGACGAGTGCTGTTGTTAGTAATTCTTGCACTTCGCTGCGATCATATTTTTCAAAGAAAGCAGAAGCATTTCTTTGCACTGCTAAATTTTCCAGGTAGGTTTCCTCATCTTGAACTTGATCAATTCTAACTATTCCTTTTTTGGATAGTCTTAACATTTCTAATTAAATCCAGTATGTCCTTCTTGAAGTTCCTGCAATGAGGGAAAAGACAAGCAATAATATTTGTCAGAGCAACAAAGGTGGATTTTTCTAGAATAAATATGTACCCTTCATTTTTCTAAAGTTAATATTTTCATGGCCAGTCTGTATCCTTTTTAACTTCCAATTAATTGCATCACAAGAAACTTAAATTTGAATTAAAATACTTAATGTTGTAAAATCTTTAACATTAATCATGTTAAATGATTTGTAAAACTGCTTCTAAGAGCCAAAAGTTATTGAGAATTTCTTGGGGCTACACAACACTCTCCAACAACCGACCACACAGATTGTGCTCTCTTAAGATTATATATAACATCTTAATTTGTGTAAGTACATTCTACAGCATTTATACAACAATGAAATAGCTTGACACACTTCCCATCTGTCTGAGTTAAGTTTCTATCGCTGTGATAAACACCATGACCAAAAGAACTTGTGGAGGAAAGGGTTAATTTGGTTTCCAGGTCATGGCCCATCATCAGTGGGGAGCCCAGGCAAGAACGGAAGCAGAGACTATAGAGGAACAACTGCTTACTGACTTGCTTCTCCAAGCTTTCTCACTTTGCTATTTTACAGCTTTCATGACCACTCACAGGGGGCTGGGCCCTTCCACATGATCATCAATCAAAAAAAAAAAAAAAAAAGTCCTTGCTGGGCATTGGGAGGCAGAGGCAGGTGGATCTCTGTGAGTTCGAGGACAGACTGGTCTACAGCTCAAGTTCCAGGACAGCCATCGCTATGCAAGAGAAGAGAAACCGGCTCAAAAAAACAAAGAAGAAAATGTCCCATAGACTTGTCTACAGAGCCATATGATGGAAACATTTGCTTGGTTGAGGCTTCTTTTTCCTAAATGACCTTAACTTCTGTCACTTGGCAAAAAACTAACCAGAACTTCATTATTAAAGGGCATGTGGCTGTATTTCAGAAGAACGTTAAGTTCGTGTATGAGAAGCCACTGCTATGTACTTTATTTTTCATTGTATAGACTTTTAACTCCCTCACTCCCCTTAACCACTCTCCTCCTGCATACACTGTTCTTCCCTTCTTCTCCACCCTGAGAAGCTCCTGAGACCTGTGTGCCCTCCTACTTTGTGGTGTTTCAGCCTAGGTCCCCACACGTCTGCCGAGCTGTTCCTCCTGCCTGCTTTTTAGTTTCCAAGCGGCCGAACACCCGCTTTCACAATAGTAACTGTTACTTTTTTCTGAGCATCTACTATGTGGGACGTGTAAAACAGTACTTTTACTTAATGTCATCAGCCTTCATTACACAGTGATTTTCAAAATTTAGCCTACATCAAAATCACCTGGACCTTCTTAAAATACCTGTTTCTGGATCACACAGACTTGGGGTAGAGAATTTGCATTTTGAAGTCAATGCTGATTCTGCGTACAGAATCCGGCTCTGTAGCGCTTTTTTTCTACTACGTCATAGGTGCCGACACGTAAACAAAGGATTACATGGGGGCTCACAGTTTTCAGAAACAGAACCCCGCTCCAAGTCTTGTGATCATAATCAGTTAGCATCTGTCAAGGACATGGGAGGAGATAAGGAAAAGGGAGAGGCCTACTTGGAAAAAAATTTTCTTGTTTAGGAGAGTCGCTTCCAGGATGGTCGCTAAGATACTCCCTGGAGCCGTTGCTTGGGATGGCTTCTCGATGGTTCTGAATCGCCCCACCATAACCCCCAGAGCGTGAGCGGGTCGGGGAAGCTGGGAGGGCCTTCCCTGTGCTGAGGGCCCGAGTTGGTGAGAACTGGGAGGGCCCTGAGCTGCGTAAAGCTGTCCTAGGGCTTTGCCATGTGCAGGCTGTGTCTCAGGCAGATGAGCGTGGGCTGGCAAGATCTCTGTACATCCTGCCCCAAGGCCACAACCTCATGGTTGATCCCATGAGGACAAATTATCTAACCTCTCTCTAGATCTCAGCCTAGCGTCTGTCACTGCTACTGCGCATCTGCTAACTGCAAAGAAAACAACAGAAACCCTGGAGCGGTACAAGCCAACATGACAGGCTCTAATGGTCCTGGTCTGGAATCCTATTGTGCAACACATGTTTACTGAACATCAGTTATGAGCCAGGCACCATGCCAAAGACTGGAGACCACAGATACAGGGAAAAGAGCAAAACCCCAAGGGGCTTAGAAACACAAAAGTGCTTGCCAATGTGGTGTAAGATGTTGACAGCACCCAAAAGAATGTTCATCTAGATGCCTGTGGAGTGACTTTTAAAATGAAGTCTGGGAAATGAAAAAATTATCTGTGCAAATAATTGCTGAAGTTGCTCTTCTGGGACAGGGATGCTGCTGTTGAAAGTTGAAGAAAAACCATTGCATTGAAATCAAGGGATGTGGGCACAAAACGAGTATATAAAACTGGGTGAAGAACAGTGTGGGATTTTGAGTTTATCCCAAATAATCGGGCTAAGGTGTTAACGATGCAGGTCAGAAGGCTAGGGTGATGGTAGTGGTGATGAGGGTGCAGTGCTGTGGAATTTCAGGTGGGTTATTGGTAACAGATTACAGGGTTGCAATGTGTTGAAAAAATGTGTCAGGGTGACCCTTCACTTCCTATCAGGGGTTACAGGGTGTCAAAATGAGATTCTAAGTCCAGCTGTGGACATAACATACCTTAAAGTGCCAGAGAAACAAAGAAATGTCAGATAGGTCTTAGGTATCAAAGATTAAAAAAGAGCAGCTGGGGTGAGACATATAAATTCATTGAAGCTAAAAGTAACTCAAGCCAAAGGAGTGGTTGAATCACCAAGACACAGCATACTTCTGACATCCAGGACAAAAACCTATGAAATTTAACATCTGAAGGTTAGCTGGAGAGAGCAACTAGAGCTACATAATGGGACTCTGTCTCAAAAACAGAGAGGAGGGAAGGGGAGAGGGAAGAGGAGTGGAGGGGAGCGAGACACACACAGAAGGGAGTTGGAGTGGGGAGGAAGGAGGGAGAACAGTTATGAAGGTTAGGGTCAGCAGAATACAATGAAGAGATGGCCATGAAAATCAGAGGAAAGCCACAACTGGTCAGAAGCCAAAGGATCTACATCATGAATTAAGTGACGGGTATGGCCAACTTTGTCCGTTGTAGCAGCCAGGTCAGGGGAAGCTTAACTCCTCTCAATCTTACACTGAGCAATGAGGCTCTTAGTGGCGAGGCAGAACTCTTTTACATGAAACTGCACTTACCAGGGAATAAATTCAGGGCACAGGGAAGTCTTTGTCAAGCTAGTCTATAAGTCTCCTAACAATTCTGTACTAATAGATCAGAAAGGTAGATTCCAAACAGTAAAGAGTATAGGGTGATACTGAGATGTGGTGGGATCACAATGGACAGTTAATGAGGTAGGCAAGAGCTGGTCACAGACTGCTATCAGTTTGATACACAATATTATGAGTGACATGGAAAACAGACTTTTGATTAGTAGAGGACCGTTTCTGTTTGCAGTGGCAAGAAAGCAATGGAGTAACTACAGGTGAGGTGGAAGTCATGATGCAAACACGCACCAGGATACGACTCCAAGGAAACCAACTCTATGACACCTTTGCTCTTGGACATCCACTCAACAGAAATCAGAAATAAATTTGACGACTTCTGTGCTGGGCAGGGGCAGGTGTTGGGCTAATTAACTGATCTGTGAAAGCTAAGATGGGATCAGACCATCTGAAGGACCAGAGAATATGTTAAATAGTTCTTAGAGAAATTCCTCAAGTAGGAAAATGAGCTGTGACAAGTGTATTAAGTCTCACTTAGGAACATGAATCTCAGTTATTTATCTTCTCAAAATTTTAGTTCTCGAATCTGTCAAACCTAAGCCGAGGTTCCTGAAGACAACAGCAAATTGAGTTATTTGCGGCTATGGCTCTCATGAAGACTGGGGGAACAACTGTGTTTTACACACTGACACCATGTTTGGTTTTTTCCTTTCCCTATACATCTCTGAACATCACCAGAGTATTCTACAAAGTAACTGAATTCTGACACTATCTTCCAGGAGTTGGCATCAGGCCCCAGGTTTAAGAGCTCTGTCTTGCTAGGCGGTGGTGGCGCACGCCTTTAATCCCAGAACTCGGGAGGCAGAGCCAGGCAGATCTCTGTGAGTTCGAGGCCAGCCTAGGCTACCAAGTGAGTTCCAGGAAAGGCACAAAGCTATACAGAGAAACCCTGTCTCGAAAAACAAAACAAAAAAAAAAAACAAACAAAAAAAAAAAAGAGCTCAGTCTTACAAGATTGGCAATTCAAATGCCCAGGGCAAGTTAAGCCTCTGCTCCTTCTCTACAGCCATTTATGAACTGGACTCTCACAACTGGCCCCAGCCTTCAGTGTTAATAGTGTGCTTATAGAACTCAGGAGTTCACACTCAGAATAGAACATGGAAACGGTCAGATGGAAATGATGCACAGGGCAAGGTGCTGGGGTGGAGGCAGCCTCCCAGGCCCTCTGTAATCTCATCCTAAAAGCCCTGTCATGCATTTGAAAACCGGAACTCATTACATCTTTATAAAGAGCTTGACTGGAGCTTCATCTCCAGCCAGCTTCACTCCACTTCTCAGGTGAAACTTCCCCAAAGGCCAGTTGTAAGCCTGTACACATTTGGGCTTTCTAGTAACAACCTCAAGGCTGAGGCCATCTAGGGAACCCTGCCTAACTTACCTCACGAACCTGATCAAAAGGACCCTTGATGGGAAAAGTAAAAATTCACACAATGAACTATGAAACCACCACATCCCACAATAGTAAGGCAGCAGCTGTTTATTTTTAGTGACTGTCATACAGTGTTATTACATGGTAGAATCATTATGTCATCTTCTTGAGAGGTTTTCTAAGGTAGGATTTGGAGCCTTCCACATTTATCAGATGCCTTCTCGTTAATTTTCTCCAGTTTTGCAATTCTAGATCCAAACTGCATGGCCCGCTTCGGCAGAAGGGCAGAGGCTGTGAGACCAAGTTCAACAGCTGCAAGGCGTAGAATGAGCTTCTCACCAACCCCACGGGGCAAAGTCAGGTCTGCTTTTTCCCAAATCGGCAGGGAATTTAGGAAAGACACAACATTCTCATCCAGGAAAGGAAACCTAAAATTCATTAAAAAAAACTGATAGTGACTACTATTAAAAAAATAGTCTATTAGTGATTATTCACACAATTTAATGGCTAAAATTTAATCACATTAAAAAGGTATTTCAAAATGTGGCAATCATATGCATTACAAAAATATTCTAAAAATCTAAATAAATTAGTTGTCTATAATATCAAGAAATAATTTCAAGTTGTTTCAGAGTATTTTTGAGGATGTTCCCAGTACACAGCATGTGATGAATAATTTAATTTATGTCTGATTTGAGCATGGCTACAGAAACTGAACTTTAGGGGCATGAAGTCAGTATAAAAGTTTCCAAAATTCTGGACTTGTAACACTGTATCAAAACTGTAGTATATAATCCCAAAAAGAATTACTCAGTCACCTTAGACCATGAGTGGCCCTTCAGCTTCGCTCTCAACTGTGGTCATAACGTACAGCTGAGACAGTGTGTCAGTGCTCCTGTTTTGCATGGGACCAATCTCTAAAGACAAGGAATGTAAAGCCTCCTTTTGTATTTTTACTAAAAAGCATTCAAATAGTGAGTTACCTAGCTTCCTTTCCATGGTCACCAATAACTCTGTCATCACGACCAAGGTTTCTGGAAGAAATGCGACCCAGTTCCATTGCTATTTCCTCATTCAATCCTTCTAGACCAAGAGATTGAAAGCGGA